CATTGGCTCATTCTGCTGTGTAGACTTTCAGTGGAGTTTTTCATGTCCTGGAAATCTATTGCAAGGTGTTTTTTTTAACATAAGATAAAGTTTGTTTTTTTTTTTTTGCTTAAATTCTTTTATTTTTACATTTTAGGTATACAGTACATTTGCATTTATCATTGGGTGCTTGTACCTGTACATGATGTATCCATAAGATAAACTTTTTACATTAGTTAAGTTTAAGGCTGGCTTCTTACTGAGATTCTTTTGGATCAGATTTCCAAAAATTAATTTCACCAGTAATATGATAACCTCAACCCTGAGTTTCTCCTTCAAGAAGAAACCTTGTGCCTTTTTAAAAAATACCCATTGGCTTCTGGTCTTTACTCACAAATTTCATTAAGATTTTTATAGTAAGACTCAAAAGTTTTTTTCCTCCTTCGTAATAAAAGTATCTTATTTATTATTCCTTTCAAGCTTTACAAAATTAAATTTTTCTTGTACTTAGTGAATTAAAATTATTTATATGTAGCTATTTACAATATTTATTAGTGTTTACTCTGTGCAAGGTACCTAGATATTTTCTGAGTGTACTACAAAGAAATACAAGATATAGGTGATTACTTAATTCATTTATGTTTTGTGACAAAATAGATGAATAAGAATAAACTTAGATGTCACAAATGTGAGAAAAGTATATGATACTAGGTTTCAAGATTTTATTGTTGATGAGAAATTTTACTGTCTGAAAAAAACATTTTACTGTTTGAAATTTCCAGGAAATATGTTTATGTTCATTGTTTTTCTTCTCAGATAATGGCTCTGGATCTGGAGAAGGAGGTAAGTTTCAAATATTTCTTAAGGGGCATTTATTTTCTTTCACTTTTCTTTTTAATGGCTTTGAAATGTAATACATATACCATGTGATTCACCCATTTAAAATGTACAACTCATAACTTTTAGTATATCAGAGTTGTACATTTATTGTCACAGTAAATTTTAGAATGTTTCATTTCCCTAGAAAGAAACTGCTTGCCCCTTGGCCTTTATCTCTAAGCCTTCAGTCCCCCTTTACTTTAGACATTCTCTATTTCATGCATTTTTTTTCACTGATGGTTTCTTGTGAGGTTAAGGGGAAAATGCTGTGGGTTCTGTTGTATTTTTAAGTCACAGTGATAAAAATAACTTGAGTTGTGCATAGAAAAGGGAAAATTTTTGGAGCAACTCTGGTGCAATTTAAAGTTTAAAGTTTTAAAAAATCCCATTTAAAAACTATTTTACAAATACAAGAATTAGTTATTTTTGGTGTTTAAAAAATTAATATTTATCATAGCATGTAATAGAGGTTAAATGATCAGAACTGAGAATGACTAATCTATTCTTCATAATCTAAGCAGGCTATAATTCTTACTGTCTTCTTTGTGTAAAGTAATGTTTGTGTAATGTGAGGATACACTAAGAACATTCTTGCTAGGAGAATTCACTCCATATGTAAACTATAGTTGTGATCCTTTGAACCACATATAAAACCTTTATTGTAGGTTATTCCTCATTCTACATTTCATAGATTCCTAAAATTATAGATTGGAGGGACTCTGAAGGTTATCTAGAAAATAGAACAATAGTGAGCAAGAAGTTCACGGAATGCAGTTTCAGTTTAAAATGATTAAAGCTCTTGAACAATAGAATTTGATTTAAATGGACTCTTACAAGCAGAAGCTTCATAACATGTAAAGGATCAGATTGTGAATTCTAGATTTTAGAGGTAGAAAGAATTTAAAGAGTTCATGTGTCTAGCGCCTGTGGCTTGATACTCAGTGAGGAAACTGTCATTGTTTCTATAACAAAGAGGTGAGAATTGATACTAAGATTTGCTAATATAGCACAGTCCTGGATGTCTTCCCTTGTGTTTGTAGTTTGGCCATTGTTTTAGAGAGTACGAGTTAGAAAGGCTCGGTGGTTTGATTGGATTAATAAACAAACCTTAGTGAGCATATGGTGGTGCTAGTAATTCTAGATCCCATGATGTTTCTGAAGCCTCAGAATTACTTAGTATTAGGATCTCTTGAATCTGGGATTATTCTTGAAAGTTTAGGGGAGGATTTCTACTTTAAGTGCAGGTCAACACCAGGCATCAGAAGATTGGAGGCATTATCAAAATGGTGTTGTAGATCTATGTATTTTCTTTTCTTTTTTTTAATCAATATATGCTTGCAGTATATTATGATTACAATTATGGGGAGTTGGTACATGTACATAATACATCTGAATTCTTCTCTCTCATATCCTCTACCCTTCTCCTCCCTCCATGCTCTTTTCTTTGGTCCCTTTCCCATTTGCAAAAGCTCTATGTTTGTCATTCCCCCCTTCAATTCTTTTTTTCCATCCCCATTTTCTTCTCCTCCTGCCTCCCCCTCTCCATCTCTTGTTCTACCATTGGGAACTTTGAAACCAAACAGGGAAATCTCTTGAGGAAACTGAAATCCTTAAATTGGCATTTGAACTGATCTCCATGTCCAGTTTGAGATGATCAGGATAGGGTGCACTCTAGTTGAGACCCACATATGTAGGATGCCCCTAAGTGTATGATGTGAACCAAGTCAGGGGATAGTCGTATTTGCTGGCTTTTGTTGCCAGGTCATAAGAGACGCATGCACTTCTGCTAAGGGTATTTTGGGCTTAAAAAGGGGAAAGTCTATAAAGAATCTCTTGTTAAAATTTGGAGTTTTTTAATACTGTGGAACTATGAGTTTTTATATAGTTAGAAAGCCAAAAGTATGAAACTGATGTGAGGAAAAGATGAAAATTATATTGTACTTTGTTCCACCACTTATTTGTTAACCAGCATTGTACAGATTTATTTCAGTAAGAGGGTAATCAAGACTGAATTTATTGCTTTTTTGTGTATGGTTTTGGAGATCAAACTCTTAAGTATTGTTCATTTCTTCTTTTTTTTCGGGGTTGGGAGGATGCTTTACTGGGGATCGAACATGCGACCTTGTGCTTGTGAGGCAGGCGCTGGAACCACTGAACTAAATCCCCGGCCCCCCATTTCTCCTTCTTAATCAGTGTTCCATGGTAATTCTTTTTTTGTTGTTGTTGGTTTTTTTTTTTTGGTACCGGGCATCGAACTGGGGTCCTTGAGCTTGCGCAGCAGGCAGCGAAACCACTGAGCTAAATCCCTGGCCCATGGTAATTCTTTTAAGAGCAGTTTATCATCAAACTTACTATATTGCTTGTCCATGCATAGTTTAAGGAATTATTTTGTTAGCAGCAGTACTTGTACCACAGATTATGTTGATTTCAGAGTTGGCAACATTTTTGGACTCAGTGTTGACATATTTTGGAAGTGACTGTTTTCAAGAACTTGGGGTCATTTTCCCGAGAAAGGTGATACTAATGACTACTGAAAACATGAAGTATGTTTTTTTGTTTGTTTATTTTTTTGGTACCGGGGATCGAACTCGGGTCTTTGTGCTTGTAAGGCAGGTGATGGAACCACTGAGCTAAATCCCCAGCCCTCCATGAAGTATGTTTGCAAAGGAGATCCCTGCATCTGGTTGAAAGTTTAATTTTTCTTTTTAAACAGAAGAGGAAGGTTCAGGGGCAGAAGCTCACAGAAAACACTCCAAGTGTGGACCTTGCAAATATAAAGCTGAATGTGATGAAGATGCAGAAAATGTTGGGTGAGTTGGTTGAGGGAGTGGGATACAATTTTTTAATTTATCTATTTATTGATTGATTGATTTATAGCCAAGGTCTTGCTAGGTAGTTCAGGCTGGCTTTGAATTCACTATGTAGCCCAGGCTGTCCTCAAACTTGGCAGAAATCCTCCTGCCTCAGCCTCCCAAGTGCTGGGATTACAGCTTTTATTTTATTTTGATACATGTTTTTAGAGGTTAATTCTCAGCATGACTATGTTGTAGAAAGGTATCATTTGCCTGGTCCTGTATATTTTGTGTGCGTTTTCTATATTTTTCTCTTTAACGCTAGTCTGACTTTTAAGTTGTTTTAATACTGGCTATTTAAATGAGTTTGTTAAGTTTTAGAATGAAAATTTACTTCTACTCATTGCTTTCTCTTTAACTTGATAGTATTATGTTTTACACTAAGCGCTAATTTTATTAATCAAAACTGCTATTATTTTGAATTATCTTGTTACACCTTCAATTGGTATCTGTAATAAATAGGTTCTTTTTTTTTTTTTTTTTTTTGGGTACTGGGGATCGAACTCAGGACCTTGTGCTTGCGAGCAGGTAGCGGAACCACTGAGCGGACTCCCCGGCTCAGTAGGTTCTTTTTTTACTTTGCAGTTTTATTTAAAACTTTTCATGTAATTCAATGCAATAAGAAAAATCCAAAACTGTTGCAAAATTTTAGATATGTTAAGTATTTTATATAATTACAAATTTTTCCTGGGCCGGGGATTTAGCTCAGTGGTTCTGTAACTTGCCTCGAAAGTACAAGGTGTCCTGTGTTAGATTCCTGGTACCAAAAGAAAATTTTTTTCCCCTAAAATTCCAGTTGTGTAGGCTGATGTGTTTTTCTCATTCATGGTCAGGCTTCACTAAGGTGGGTTTTGTGGCTATCAGCATTGTCCAGTTTCCCATTCACTCCTTGTAAGAAATGTTCTTTGATAGCATAGCAATAATGTAGACATTTATCAACACAGTCATGTTAGAGTTTTCCTTATATCAGTATCCTGTTTATTTATTCCCAGTCTCATCCTTCTTTCATCTGGGATTACTTTTTTTTGCATACAGGATCTCACTATGTAGTTCACGCTGGCCTTGAACTCAGTACTATCCTAGATTGGCCTTCAATTTGTGCTGCTCCTCCTGCCTTAGCCTCCCAAGTCCTGGGACTATTGGCTTGTGCTGTCATGTCTGGCAGGACTTATTTTTTTGTGATTTGATTTTTAAATAATGACTTCAGTACCTGATAGCACAAATGGATCTTCTTCATTTCCTCAGTTTTCTTGTAAATATTTCAAAACACTTTTTTTACAGAAATTAGTACTTTCTTCCTTACTTGTACATATTTTTGGTGTATTTGTATTTCCTAGCCCCATGTTTTATTTAGCCCTTAAGTGCTAAAAAGTAGTAATATGATCTCATTAGCATGAATGCCCAAAGTGAGTTTTATAAATAAAAATAATCCATTTTCAGTGTTTATGATATAACATCAACTGTTTGGATGGCATTTGGTAAAATTAAGTATCTGATAATTTAGTTGTTGTGTATTTCAAAGCAGCTGAGAATTGTCAAAAAAAAAGCAAGTTAAGTAAACAGCAGAATGTGAATTTATTCTGTCTGATATAATGGTCAGTTGGACTGGCCTGTGTATGCCCATTTCAATCAGGGTGGTTTGATTTTGGAGATAATGTTTTCTAAAGCACATATTGGCCTGTGGAATAAGAGAAATATGCTGGGCAATATGGACTTGGAGAACATGTAATAGATATTAATGCTGATTCTTCCTCTTGATCTGTACTTTTGATGTGATGTCATAAAACACCAGTTGTGTGTGTGTGTGTGTTTGTGTGTGTGTATGTGTGTATGTGTAGATATTTAATAATTTTCAGTATTTTTCCTTAGGACTTTTATAATGGGGATCAGGCTACATAGATTTCAGGGATCAAACACTGGAGTCTTATTGGTTTGTTTTTATTTCTTTGTCGGTATCTCTGTTCAGCCCTATTTTGTACATTTTCCTTATCATTTTTCAGGCCTCAATAGAAAGAGGCTTAAAGTGAGACAGAGTTCATCTAGTTGCAGAGGTCCTTAAATACAACATTATATGTAAAATACACTTTTTATGTGAAAAAACTCTCCCTAAGATGTAAATCAGAGTAACTCTACTAATTTTTTGTGTATTTGTTTATGAGAGCTTGCAGCTGCTATTCTTTTTTCTTTTTTGGTACTGGGTATTGATCTCATAGCTACATCCCCAGACCATTTTTTATTTTTTATTTTTTATTTTGAGACAAAGTCTTGATAAATTCCTAAATTGCCCAAGCTAGAGTCAAACTTTCCATCCTCCTACCTCACCATCCCAGAATGCTGGAATTACAGGCATGAACCACCACACCTAGTATGGTTATTATTCTTGCAGATAAAGCTCTAAGCATAAGGAAATGGGTATAGACCTAGGAAGGGTTTATCAATTGTAAGATTATACAGGCTGGTATACAGGCTCTTACCAGCAGAGTAAGTATATGAATAAGCAGCCAAGAGCATGAAATAATAGGAAAATCATGTGGAAGTAATTGAATCTTTATGTAAAAATTAAGTGACAACGCCAAAATGGAAAGAGACAAAGGGAAATTTTAGGAACATTAAATCTTTTATGCTATAAAACATTTACTGCTGCTTACAGTTGTTTTAAACAAAGTAAATATATTTCAATTGCTATTTAATTTTTTAAAGTTTTACTTTTAAATGGGGTATGGTACCATAAAAGCTGTATGATGGTTATGTAACTTCTTTCATGTGCTTCTGTAGTTGCCATCAGGTACATAATAACATGTTTGCCTGAGGATAATTTTTACTTGGCCAGCTAGACCTTTTGGGTTTGGAAAACTGAGGTATGCAGAAAATTAAGCTATTAAACCTCAATTTTTATAGAAAAATCTATTATATGTTAAAATGTATTAGTTTTCTGATGCTGGGACAAAATACCTGACATACACAACTTAAAAGAGGAAATGTTTATTTCAGCTAGTAGTTTCCAAGGTTTCACTCTGTGGTTGACTTCCTCTGAGGGGGAAACATAAAAGCATGATGGAGGAAGGCTCTTATGTCATCCAGAAAGCAGAGAGCAGGGCAAGAGCCAGAAGGAAGGAGCCAGGGTCCAGAAATAGATCCCAAGGTCTTGCCCCAGTGTCCTATTCAGACACACCCAGAAATGTCTCTCAAGCCAATCAAGTTGGTAAACAAGAATAACCATCACAGTTGTTAATTTGTAATTTTGTTAAAAGATAAGCTTTTAGTTATTACAAATAGAGGCTTTTAATTATAAACTTAGTACTCATGTCGTGACTTAATTTTTATAAACTGGATTAGAATCAGGGAGTATTATGGTTGGAGAGGATCTTAATAGTTTTATCAAATGAGATTGAGGACTAAAATCAGAGGTTTGATGAGGTGGATTCTGCTAAGTTAGTTCAGTGTTTTTCTTTCAGTTGCCTCCCTATAAATTGCCTTTTGTATTACTAGGAGAAAATGCTGTTCTTACCCTTTTTACCTTCCTCAAGGATGACTGCCTAATGACTTTTTTTTTTTTGGAGGGGTTTATGTTTTGATTTCATTTTGGCTTCAAACAACATAAACCATTGCTTTATAGTTTTGTAGGATAAGAAGTCTGACATGGATCTCTCTGAGTCAGGATCCAAGGTATCAGCAGGACTGTGTTCTTTCTTTGGGCTCTTGGGGAGAATCTGTTCCCTTGTCTTTCTTGCTTCCAGAAACAGATCTCATGCTTCACCTTGTGGCCTCTGCCATCTTCAAAGCCAGCAACCATGGACTGAATCATATTCGCACTGAATCACTCTTTTTCTGTCTCTTCCTTCCATTTTTCCCCTAAGATTAATTGCTTTAAAATTTATTTTTCTGATATTGGGAATTAAATTCAGGACCTTGTGGTTGCCAGGTAGGCGTGGTGCCACTGAGCTAAATCCCCAGCCCCCTAATCTCTTTAAAAATTTTAAACATATAATAGTTGTGTGATATTTCAGTACACATATATGTATATTGTGTATTGACAAGACATGACAACATTTCCATTTCCTTATTATTTTTTATGTTTATAACCTTGAACTCCTCTCTTCCAGTTCTTCATAAATATATGATGGGTTATTATGACCTTTAGTATCTTACTGTGTTGTAAGACACACATATAGAGGGTAGGGGATAGAGGAAGGATGGTTAGTGGGTACTAGAATGACTGATGGCTTTTTGAAAACAACACTACCCTTTATTCTGTCAGCCTGGTCCCAGGTGTGTTATCTTAACTTCCTTGTCTCCTGGTCACTGTGAGTACTAGCTGCTTTTTAGCATTGTTAGCTCTTAGCTACCATCTAGAAATCAAATGATTGTTTATTAGTGACTCTGTAACTTTTTGGAATGATACCTATCTTCCTTAAGTATAGTGCAGTCTGATCTTTTCCATCTTGTTTTCTTAAAAAAATGTTGATAATGATCCACTAAATTGTCTTCATAATCTACTACTGATTGTGAGCTATAGTTTGAAAAAAAATAATGCTCTAAAATATAACTACAATAGGTAATTGTTTCATGTTATACTTTTAGATGTGAATATTATGGCAAATATTTTATCTTTTCTCATTTTGAAATCTTTCCCTTCAAAAGAGATGCTCTATAATATATCTGGATTTCAAAGAGCAGCTAAAATCTTTCTCTTGGTTTAAAGTTTTGTCTTGCTAATAGTTAAAAAAAAATCCAGTATTTTGGGGAAAAGAATGACTGTGATACCATGTAAGTTAATTTTCTATTGAAGAGATGTGCTATTTTTTCATTTAAGTGGCTATTTTTAGCCATTTAAATGAAAATTGATTAAATACATTGCATATTTCCTTGTGTTAAACAGAACATACAGCTCATATTTAATTTTTTTGGTGGTACTTGGACTGAAGCAGGGCCTTCACACTGGGCTACATCCCCAGCCT